GTTTCGAGTGATTTGAATTGTAGGTAGGTGGTGTTGTTTTAGTTTGAATTGTTCCCCGCCTGCCAGGTGAGGGCTGTTAGATTTTATCAGAGTTGTTCTTCTCCTCTTCCTCCTCCTCCTTCCTCCTCCTTCTCCTCCTTCTCCTCCTCCGCGTCCTCCTCCTCCTCTACCACCTCTGCCTCCACTTCCACGTCCACTGTTGCCTTGCCAACTCTTGGCCAAGCTCTTCGCCAACTTCGGAGTTCAGTCCGCAACCTGAGACCTTCCCAGCTCAGTGCGCACCGCTGGACCTCAACCTGGGACCTTCCGAGCTCAGTGCGCACCGCTGGACCTCAACCTGGGACCTGCCGAGCTCAGTGCGCACCGCTGGACCTCAACCTGGGGCCTTCCGAGTTCAGTGCGCACCGCTGGACCTCAAAAGCCAGATAGAATGCCAGAAGATATGCCAGAAGATATGTCAGATAGAATGCCAGAAGATTTAACAGTAACAAAATGTATAAATGTCATGGTGGGGATCACACGAAGTAAAGTAATTTTTGCTGTTGAAGTTTTTTGGATATTAGGCCAGGCGTAAGCCCCATGTGTAGCCCCCTCGTGTGTGCCTCTGCGTTGGCTTCAAGTTTTTGGTCAACACTTTCTTCTTTGCAGTCACATTAGAATCAATAGAACAAAGCCATTTACTGGCTCAACATGTCATGGCGTGTTATGTCTGAGTTTCAGTGTAGGCATGTCCACGCATGTAACGCTGAAGGAAGTGACTGACATAAATATTTTTCAAATATCATGTTCACTGATGCCCGTTGACGTTGGGACTTTTTCTGATCCACATCTTCGTGCTGTTGAATAGTCACCGTCAAGTCACGGACAGCCGCCGCTATAGCCACTTGGGAAACAACACCGGTCTTGGATTTTCAAGTTGACATCCCAAAGTTAGCAGCTAGCTGCTAGCTCTTAGCTACCTTAGCTGCCTTAGGTGCCTTAGCTGCCTTAGCTGTGGTTTGAACACCGCATTTAAAAACCAACGACAAAACACAAATGTGTTTATGTTGCATTGGGTCTTTGGTTGAGCTGAATTTGCAATGTTCTTTGCTTGTACATAGCCAATAAACAAATGTTTGACTCACTATCAGTACCAGATATCAATATCACTATCACTATCTAACTGCATGACTCACTGTCACTATCAGCTATCAGTCCCTAGAGTCACTAGACTTGACTAGACTAGACTCTAGAGTCTCTCGAGTCTCTAGAGTCTAAATATTCACCCTAGAGTGAGTTAGAGTGGCTACATTCAGACCTGGACCTAGGGCCTAGAGCCTCTACAGTCTAAATTCTGGACCCAGAAAAAACTGCCCTCATGTTCCTCAAAAAAAATCAGGGGCCCTGCCAGTTCTGAGTTTGTTCAGGGGTCCTGCCTTGAGCTGGGCAGGGCGCATCCTCAGTTCAAAATTTGTCACCTATCCGCAAGGCTAGTTTCTTTGCTCCGTTTTCATTTGTTTGCTGCCAGCTGCCCACTAAGTCACTAAGTGCCTCAAGTCTATGGCCTAGAGCCTAAGGCCTTGAGCCTGGAACCTTAGGGCCTCAGATCCGAGAGCCTAGAGCCTCGAGCCTGGAGCCTAGGGCCTTGTTTCTCTGAAACAACCCATTAGAAAAAAAACCAAAACATAAAACAATCAAAAGAAACATTTTAAAAAACATTAAAAAAACATTAAAAAATAAAAAACATCAAAAAATATATTTAAAAAAATAGAAACACATGCAAAATCAAAAAACTGATCATAAAATTGAACGTTTGCAATTTGTTTTATTTTTTTAATGATTTTATTAATGTTTTTAATGTTTTTTAATGATTTGTTAATGATTCTTCATGATTTTTCATGATTTTATGATTCCCCACCTGCCAGGTGAGGGCTGTTAGATTTTAAAAGAGTTGTTCTTCTCCTCCTCCTCCTCCTCCTCCTCCTTCCTCCTCCTCCTTCTCCTCCTCCGCGTCCTCCTCCTCTTCTACCACCTCTGCCTCCACTTCCACGTCCACTGTTGCCTTGCCAACTCTTGGCCAAGCTCTTCGCCAACTTCGGAGCTCAACCTGGGACCTTCGCAGCTCAGCGCGCACCGCTGGACCTCAACCTAGGACCTTCCGAGCTCAGTGCGCACCGCTGGACCTCAACCTGGGACCTGCCGAGCTCAGTGCGCACCGCTGGACCTCAACCTGGGAACTTCCCAGCTCAGCGCGCACCGCTGGAGCTCAACCTGGGACCTTCCGAGCTCAGTGCGCACTGCTGGACCTCAACCTGGGACCTTCCGTGCTCAGTGCGCACCGCTGGACCTCAACTTGGGACCTTCCGAGCTCAGTCAGACAGGATGCCAGAAGATATGCCAGATAGAATGCCACAAGATATGCCAGATAGAATGCCAGAAGGTATGCCAAGTAGAATGCCAGAAGATATGCCAGAAGATATGCCAGATAGAATGCCAGATAGAATGCCAGATAAAATGTCAGATAGAATGCCAGAAGATATGCCAGATAAAGTGCAGAATGTTTGCCAGATAAAATGCCAGAAGATTTGCCAAATGATACGCCAGAAGATATGCCAGATAGAATGCCAGAAGATATGCCAGAACATATGCCAGGTAGGATGCCAGAAGATATGCCAGATAGAATGCCAGAAGATATGTCAGATAGAACGCCAGATAGAATGTCAGATAGAATGCCAGAAGATATGCCGGATAAAATGCCAGAAGATATGCCAGATAGAATGCCACAAGATATGCCAGATAGAATGCCAGAAGGTATGCCAGATAAAGTGCCAGAATGTTTGCCAGATAGAATGCCAGAAGATTTGCCAGATAGAATGCCAGATAGAATGTCAGAAGATATGCCAGAAGATATGCCAGATAGAGTGCCAGAAGATATGCCAGAACATATTGCAGAAGATATGCCAAGTAGAATGCCAGAAGATAATTATGCCAGATAGAATGCCAGAAGATATGCCAGATAAAGTGTCAGAAGATATGTCAGATAGAATGTCAGAAGATTTGCCAGTAACAAAACGTATAAATGTCATGGTGGGGATAACTCGAAGTAAAGTATTTTTTAATGATTTTTTATGGGTTGGTTCAGAGAAACAAGGCCCTATAGGCTCCAGGCTCGAGGCTCTAGGCTCTCGGATCTGAGGCCCTAAGGTTCCAGGCTCAAGGCCTTAGGCTCTAGGCCATAGACTTGAGGCACTTAGTGACTTAGTGGGCAGCTGGCAGCAAACAACTGAAAACGGAGCAAAGAAACTAGCCTTACGGATAGGTGACAAATTTTGAACTGAGGATGCGCCCTGCCCAGCTCAAGGCAGGACCCCTGAACAAACTCAGAACTGGCAGGACCCCTGATTTTTTTTGAGGAACATGAGGGCAGTTTTTTCTGGGTCCAGAATTTAGACTGTAGAGGCTCTAGGCCCTAGGTCCAGGTCTGAATGTAGCCACTCTAACTCACTCTAGGGTGAATATTTAGACTCTAGAGTCTCTAGAGTCTAGTCTAGTCAAGTCTAGTGACTCTAGGGACTGATAGCTGATAGTGGCAGTGAGTCATGCAGTTAGATAGTGATAGTGATGTTGATATCTGGTACTGATAGTGAGTCAAACATTTGTTTATTGGACATGTACAAGCAAAGAACATTGCAAATTCAGCTCAACCAAAGACCCAATGCAACATAAACACATTTGTGTTTTGTCGTTGGTTTTTAAATGCGGTGTTCAAACCACAGCTAAGGCAGCTAAGGCAGCTAAGGCAGCTAAGGCAGCTAAGAGCTAGCAGCTAGCTGCTAACTTTGGGATGTCAACTTGAAAATCCAAGGCCGGTGTTGTTTCCCGAGTGGCTATAGCGGCGGCTGTCCGTGACTTGACGGTGACTATCCAACACAACGACGATGTGGATCAGAAAAAATCTCAACGTCAACTGGCATCAGTGAACATGACATTTGAAAAATATTTATGTCAGTCACTTCCTTCAGCGTTACATGCGTGGACATACCTACACTGAAAATCAGGGAAAAAACATGTGCTTGGTTCCAAGTTTGCCACTTAAAAAACAATCCATGTGTTTGGTTCCAAGTTTGCCACGCCAAAAAATTATCCATGTGTTTGGCTCCAAGTTTGCCACGCCAAAAAAAATCCATGCGTTTGGCTCCAAGTTTGCCACGCAAAAATAATATCCATGTGGTTTGCCATGCAAAATAAATATCCATGTGTTTTGTTCCATTAATCAATCAATCATTCATCACTAAAAAATAACATCATTAATCATTAATCAAAGCAGTCACGTCATAACAGCAAACACAAAAAAAACATGAACAATTGATTAAGATATTTAAATATTTAATCGTAATTTCTATGCATCGGTGAAAACATTCGATCATATCATACCAAATCAAACCGCAAGAAAATCAAAACCACATATATTTTGAAAACATGAAGAAAAACAAACAAAAACAAAATACAACAACATTTTTGCTTTTAATGCAAGGAAGAAAACAAAATAAGAAACAAACATTCCCAAAAAACGTTCAAAACATGAAAAAAACAAAAAATAATCATTGAAAGTCAAAAAATACCATTATACAATCACAATAAAACACGTTAAAAAAAACATAAAGCACATAAAAATTCAAAACAAACACTAAAAAAACATCAAAAAAAACAAAAAAACATTAAAAACATCTAAAAAAAGAAAAAACATTAAAAACAAAAATGTTCATTAAAAGAATCATTAAAAAAAATAAATTTTCATAAAAAAGCATCATTTTTCAAAAAATCATTAAAAAAAACATTAAAAAATGTCATAAAAGAAAAAAACATATTTAAAAAAAGAAACGCATTAAAAACAAACATAAACTGCTTTCAGGCAAAATAACAAATCATAAATTTCATTATAAAAAATCATAGTTGTTCATTAAAAAAAATCATAGTTTATTATTTAAAAAAATTATCTTAAAAATGAATTTTCGAATTTTCTAGCCTTCTTTTGGATCTCAAGGATACGCCACCTATCAACTGGTGGGTTGGATTTCTTCCATCTCTGCATCACCACAGCGTATGAAGGCTTCGCAAAAAGTTAAACCCAGAGGACTTGTTGGACACGCGCGGGCGCAACACGGGGGATGTCCCTCGGTCACTGCGCCGCACATGCTGTCCACTTTGGGCCAAAAACCAACTTTCGCTGTAGTTCACTCAACTCACTCAGCCGCCTCACGCCGAAACAAAGAACTCGGGGTACTAACACAATAAGGGCTCCTCTTGCAACATGAAGCTGGATAATCCAACCCCACATGATGAGAATATTAACATTTCATACATATAGCCATATAGATCCATATAGCATTGTGCTTCCAACATTTGGGGAGATAACTCCGACAGTTCAGGACTTTACCACCAATTGCGGGATCAAAGCCAGTGGCAAACATCCATTTCAAAGCGGGAGACAGTCGACCACAATCTGCGAGGTCATCATCACACATGATTGACATGATCTCATGACGTAGACAAACTGCACACCCTGAATCCATGCGGACCTCCTAAGTGCATTTCTCAAATCTTTCAGCAGCACCCGTTTCTGGTTGGAATTCGGAAGAAGTGCTGCTGTGGATGTAAAGGCCGACAGCAAAACTGATGTCTTGATGTCCTCAAACCTGGGCAAATCCGGTTCCCTGAAAATTTAGGCCTATCGCAAAGCAAGGAAAAACATCTCAATAGCAGGAATCCTGAAGACACCTACTATATCCTACTATTACTAAAGGTAGCAACCATGGGCACACTACATCAACACATATTGTCAGCAGACACCAAGGGCCGCCAGGAAATTGTCCCGAACAACATGTTTTCAACTCTCGGTTTTGGGTTGATCAGTTGATCATCCACTTTTGGGTACAATTTTGATCCCTACAGTGGGTGGGTTCAAGATGGTTTGAACATGTGCCATTCTGGTTGGTGGTTGACCTATCCCTCTGAAAAATGATGGAGTGAAAGTCAGTTGGGATGATTTTTATTCCCAACTGAATGGAAAGTCTTAAAATTCATGTTCCAAACCACCAACCAGCATTACAATTGAATAAAACACGATCATCACTTGGGCATCCCAGAAACCACTCTGAAACAACGTTGCTGGAGAGTGTTTTCCGACAACGCTTGGCCAGGCAACTGCCGATGGGAGAAGTAGCCACGCACCAGGAATGCGATGGCATCGTAACTCTCTGCAACCTCAAACTCAGCCAGCCCAAAAAGGATAGGAAAGAACTGTTTCACTGGATTTATTCAAGGTAAACCTCAGAGTAGAATAAGTAGACTATGATTTTGGCCCTGAAATAAAAGGGACCTTGGGACATGCCAAACATTGACCACCTAAATCTGGGATCTACCAGCCGCCAATCATGAAAAACAAAAAATATTGCTCTGATTTGTTTGCAAAAGATTTCGTAACTGCTAACAAACATTTTTTCAATGTTTTTCAGAATGATTATTGTTGTGTCGGCGCCTTGTGGGTTTATCTTAGAAAATTAGAATCTTGAAAAATGCAGCATGTAATGCAAAAAAAAGGATCTTAAAAATGCAAACAAAAACAACTGCAGAAAGAAAATGCAAAAAAAAACACAAATGCACAAAACATGCACATGCAAGAACGCAATGCAAAATAATCGAAAATAAAAATATACTGTAAGTTCAAAAACGCAAATGCCGAAAATGTTTTTGGACACCCGCTTGATTCACATTTAGGGGGCGTGCAGGATATGCAGTCTCGGTTGCCTGGTTTTCATGCATTCCGATTCTTGAATTTGCCTCGCATGCAACATGTGCAAGAATGAGTTTCAGTTCGGTTTGGGTTTCTGCCCCTGCATGGAACATAGATTTTCAAGAAAGGGTTGGTGGTTGGCACAGCCCGCCAGCCCAAGTCCCAGACGCTTCTTTTCGGGAAAGTGGGGGCCCATTTCCCAGGGGATGACCCTATCGAGGGCCCGTTTGTTTTGATTTTTGATTGCATTTGTTTTGTTTTTTTCTGCATGTTTTTTGTTTTTTACATCTGTTTTTTGCGATTTTTCAAATTTTATCCAGTTTTGGAAGTTTCCAATTCGGATCGGGGACCTTCCCCTTCGGCTGGTCACCTGTCCACTTGGCAGGCGTGAACCTCAGCATTGCGCGTCCTTCTTCGGCTTCACGGGTTCACCTCGGACCTCCCTTTTCAAGTTTAATGTGTCCTTTGTCTTCTGCGCAGGTTTTACTATCTTGTCCAGGTTAATTGTTGTTTCCCTGTGTGCTGTATTTGGCATTTTTCCTTTTCCCTGGTTGCATTTCATCTGTCTATATTATCCCTACCCCTTAGACCAGGGGGGGCAGAAAATTGTAATATTACTTTTTTTTAGGGTAGGGGGGTGAAAAATGTAATATTACGCGCAAACCCCCCAGTTCGCCCACACAACTTCTTAGGGATTTTGAAGGAATATAAATTCCGACCCCCGTTAAACTTTACATTCAAGTGGGAAGATCCACTTAAAGGTATTAGGGAATATTACAGTCCCACCCCTGTTAAACTTCTACATTCATTGAAGATCTTCAATAAGGGTTTAGTTCTCCCACCCCGTTAAACTTCTGTGGCTTTTGCTCCTGCGAACTTTGATTCACCGCGTTTTGTTCTGGCCGACCTGGGGGTGAATTGATTTTTTCTTTCTTGGCCTGATTGGTTTCCATGGCTCAGTAAGGCTGGAAATGATTTTATTGCATTTTGCATCTTTTCCGCTGAATGATACACCAAAACCGGCTGGTGCTGTTTTTTTATTCGTTGGCTCATTGAACCATATTCTTTTGGTTCTGGTATATTTGACATGGCTCTTGATATGATTGGCCGATTGATTTATCAAATCAAGCAGGTATTTTTATGCCGAGGTCCTCGTTTCCACACACGAAATTCCCAAGTTTAGCAAGGCAACATGTTGGCATGTTATGGATGCACATATCCCATACCATAACTCATGAGTACTGTCATTTCCATATACCCACAATGAGGACGCACTGGTAGGGCTGAAATCAGTTGGACTCAGCACTTAAGGGCATTTAAGTGTTGTGTTGCTGTTTTCCCTTTAGCTAGCCTGTGCTAACTCATCGTCATATTTCCCTCGCTAACTCCCCTCAATATAACGCATGATTTTTCTTTAAATAGTTCCTGGAACTCTGCAAATAGTTCCTGGAAATCTGCAAATAATTCCTGGGTCCAAACACCAGAAAACAGAAAGGCCCAAATAAAGAGGCCAACGCCGATAGTAAGTTATATAAGGAAATTAAATAGATTTTGAAATCGGAAAAATAGTTTATATTATAAATGTTTTCAATTTATTAAAAGGGATCCCTAATAAGTTATGTCTGAGCACGGCATATTTTGCAAAGCATCTTTCTGCTTGCCTAGGCTGACGCTGCACCTAGGCACGCATCTGCTGAGAACCACGTTGGGCACCTCAATGACTATAGATGACTGGGATGATATCCTATGTCATTTATTCTCATGTTGAGATTTGTTTCCTGCATATGTGCGTATCATTGTGCACTTTGCCTGGAATTGCCATGAACTGTCTGGTGAATGGTGGTGTTTTTTGAAAAATGTAAGCTAGACTGCTTCAAGTGTTGAAAATGATGGTGTTTTGCAGAAGATCTCCATGTCCGAACAGTCAAGCTTACATTTTCTTATTACTTCTTAGTCCATCTTATTCCCACATTATGTCATAGGGTGACATATTGCATCATACTGTGACATATCTTGCAACGCATTTTTCTGCTTGCCTAGGCTGGCACTGCGCCAGAAGGAGCATCTGCTGAGAACGACGTGGGGCACCTAGTAGATCACTGTAGATGACTAAGATTGGCATGGGTTCACCAACATTGACAAATATTGACAAGGTCCTTTGATAGTTTTATAGTTTCTTGAAGTTTCTTATGGTTTCCAGTGGTTTCTTGATGCTCCCTATCTAAGCGTGAAAGATGTAAGTTGATGCAAGATCATGCAAGAAAATGTAAGATCCAATGTTACATTATATATTACCATTATTATCATATATTACCATTACCTAAATGGTGAGCCGTTTGGGGGAGGGTGTTTGAGATAGTGGTGGGCTGCATGGATTCTGGCACCCCTATTGCTTTCAGCTTACATTTTTGCGTCGAATAGCTGAGATCCCGTTTGGTCATTTCATGATACTTTATGTCATTTTTTGTGTATATTTGCGCATCATTGTGCTCTTTGCCTGGAGTTGCCTGGTGAATGGTGTGTTTTTTGAAAAATGTAAGCTAGATTGCTTTGGGTGTTGAAAATGATGGTGGTTCCAGAAGATTTCCATGCCCACACAATCAAACTTACATCTTTATTACTACTTCTTATTCAATGTTATTCACTCATTATGTCATAAGGTATCAAAAGGTGACATATTGTATATCATTGTATCATAATGTGGCATATCTTGCAAAGCATTTTTCTGCTTGCCTAGGCTGGCACTGCACCTGGGGGAGCATCTGCTGTGAAAGATGTGAGGCACCTAGATCACTGTAGATTCTAGACGGCTAGGATGATATTCTATGTTCATTTTTTGTGCATGTGATTGCATATGCGCGTATCATTGTGCACTTTGCCTGGAATTGCCGCGAATTGCCTGGTGAATGGTGGTGTTTTTTGAAAATGTAAGCTAGACTGCTTTAGGTGTTGAAAATGATGGTGTTTTGCAGGAGATCCCCATGTCCACAGAGTCAAACTTACATTATTATTACTACTTCTTACTCTTAGTCTATCTTACTCCATCTGGTTCCCACATTATGTAATAAGGTGACATATTGTATGTTTTTGTATCATAATGTGACACATCTTGCAAACCATTTTTCTGCCTGCCTAGGCTGGCACTGCACCAAGTTATGCAGCAAATCTCTGTTCAAGACAATTCAAGACCCAGTTGCTATGAAAACATACCTCCAAGAATTTCCCCCACAAAATAGCTGACATTTATGTTTATACGTTTTCTATCATTTCCCGTGGTATTGAAATTTTGGAATTGAATGGTATTGATATTGTTGAATGAAATAAGTGCTAATGAAATATTTTTTTATCACCTGTATGTTTCCCATTTCTCTCACGGGGAGACACAACGGGGGAACGGCTCGAAGACTTCGACCCGGCAGGGACGGGGCAACACAACGGGATTACACACCGGAGTAAAACAACAGGGTAACACAACGGGCAACCAAACAGGGGGAAACAACGAGAAAATGAGAAATGTCACGTTTATAGTTGGTAAACAAGAAAAAGCTGCTTGTGCAACACATTGAAATTTCAAAATTGTGCATATGCACTTAATAATAATTCGATATTTTCGAAACGGATATCTATCCATAAATTATGTCCACAATCAGTTTCAAAACATTCAGTGGTTCATTTTCAAGGTATTGCAAAAAAAAAGAAAAATGTGTTTGTCAAAATATGCTGAAAAATGAGATTTATATCCATAAATTATGTCCGTAATCAGTTTAAAACATTCAGTTGTTCATTCTCAAAGTATTGCAATGATTTTTTGAAAAAATGTTTTCAAAATAGGTCTGTCAAAAACACAAAAAGATATGGTTTAGATAGTTTATGGTATCATATGGTATCATTTGATATGTTATGACATTTTTTATCGCTATATGATAGTGTTTTCGGGTTTCAGGCAATATAAATGTAAAGTTGAAAAGCCTCTGCTCTGGATGTCCCTGCAAAATGCATATGTTTGTGAGCCCGAACTTTCATAACTTACATTTTCTTTCCCCCATGGCGCCTAAAGGTGGGTATATGTTGTGTAAATGGTGGAAATCATAGTTTTCTTTCAACACGCTGTGTATTTTGAATGTATTTTGAACCTGATTTAGATATGATTTAGGTATGATTTAGATATGTTTTTTGGATATTTTGTGGATATGTTTAAGATATGGTTTAGATTTAGATAGTTTATGGTATTTCATGGTAACATATGATACCTTTTGATATGTTATGATTTTTCATGTTGTCTGACCAATAGTGATATCTTGTCAATAGTAGAAACATTTTTCCGCAACTCCATTTTTTCTCCAATACTAAAAGTCAATTAGCTCTATTACTTTTAGTATTGCCAAAAGAGTCATGTTAAGACCTTGTCCAGAGGGCATGGCCAATAGTGGATCCAACATGGCAATAGTGGGTACTTTTTTCCCAACTCCAA